GGTCGACCAATTCGATTTACGAATTCGTAGGTACCGGAAATTTCTTTCTTACGAATTCGTCCTAATTTACGAATTGGCAAAAGGAAGAAAAGACGCAATTTTTTGGTTCGGTTTTGATCATTTTTGTCAGTTCGCATTAGATTACGAATTCGCTACGAATTATTTAAAACGCGAATTGTTGCATCATTTTTACGCTCAAAAATTGCGATTCGTCAATTCATCTTTAGACACTTTGTCCACACTAATGCTAGAGTGCTAGTTTCATATTTAAACAAAATAGTTTTCGAGAAAACTTTATGCTCAAAAACCTGGTTTTTGATAACGGCATATGTTTTCCCAACACAAAGCAGGTTCATTCGATAAGGCATCCGCGACTGTATATTTCATATCCTTTTCGTATTGACAATGCTTTTTGTTTGGTCGTGAGGAAGAAAATATGGATCTAGTACGTGTTTTTTCAGGTTTTTCGAGATTAAAGCGATCTTTTACAATGAAAATCAACATTTGGAACAGCTTAAACGTGATATTCAAAAGGCTGATACGCTCTGTAGTATATCTAGCTGATTTTGAATGTTACCAAACATCATTTTGGGGCACTAAAACCGCGTCTATTCAATTAGATCATCAACGCTTTCTTCTGGTAAAACTCGACTTTTCCGGCCAAGACTCAACTTTTTCGATTATCGACCTGATATTCGCAGAGAGCATCGAATGATGTATCTTTCATTGAATTTTTTCGAAAACAATTTTTTCGAAGTTCCAGGGGGATCGCCATAGAGGCGAAAATTTTTCGAGAAAAATGAAAGTCAGTGTTCGATCGAATCAGATTCGTCATTCGATGCACAATTTTACGCGGATCAGGAATATGTAATTGCTTTTCAAAAATATTTGGCGACTGAAAATGGTCTTATCCACCTTCCTCCTTTTTGTCTTATTAAACTCTTTTTAAAACTTTACTCATCAAACCACAGCAACAGGACATTGGCTATCACGCAATGAATGAATAACTTTTGTCTGATTATTTTTGACTGAGCTAAAACTTTCTTGAAATGAGGACTAGGACTTCAGATTTTAATTAAAATTTAATTAATAACTGTGTGAATAGTTACCAGCTGATCAGAAAACTTTGTAATGAAGTGTCCTCTTCAAACTGATATAGTTTGAGGGCACATATAGGGAGTGTGGACCCCCTCTTAACTGCAATGTGAAGCTCTTGTCAGAGATTCTACAATGACGAAAGTACGTTTGTGACCTCATAAACGGTGGGGATATTGCGATGTGTTCCATCACACTATAGAACATATCGAAATATTAGGGAGGGGGTAGACTCCCCCTTAAGTGGATGTAGGCTCCCGTCCTGTTTAATATCTTTATAATAAAAATTGTTTTTGTTTCTTTTTATTGTTCATTTCGTAGCAAGATACGTGAATCAAATAGAGGTGTTCCTCTTCTTTCTCTAAGAGCCATCAAACCGAGAAGCATAATTGCTCCCGTTAAAGAAACTGCAAGTAAGATAAGTGCAGCCAGCACACCGCCAGATACCTTGGTATTAGATTCATTTACCATAATCTGTTCGATACTAATTTTGTTGGTAATAAATAAACTTTCTGTTCCATATGTTAAACAACTTAATTTGAATACTTCACTAACTGGACGAGTATATCCTACGCATGTATTGTTTTTGCAACTTTCATAGCCACTTACCGTATTTGCTCTTACACAATCTGAATCACTTGTACACCTCTCTTTTGAACCACTATATACATTGTCAATAACAAAATATGGCTCTGACATATAGACACATCCTCTTAGTAAATTTGCAGTTGATGATCGTGCATAAAGTCGTTGAACATTTGGTTTTCCGTAAGCAATACGGTCGGGTCCACTCAATTTCGCAAATTGGTCTAAGATCGCATCTAAATATGCTGAATGAATTGGAAACTCTTCGTCGCCTTCGTCGGAATCGGTACTGTTTAAATCTCCAAAAGTACCTATCGGTATAATACCTTTTTCTAATACAGTTTTTAGTAATCCTGTGGCTTCGGCACGATTTGGAATAGGAGATTCATCGGTATTGTCAATTTTACAGGTTCTCACATCAACTATATTCGCTTGATGTTTCGCAGCTACTTTCGAAGTCACAATCGTCTTCATTTGTTCTTTTACATATTTCACATTTAATAGAAAATATTATGGACAAAGAAAAAGTAGGTAGCGAGACAAAAAACTGTTGCAATTTTCAGCGTACGCCTATTCATATTTTATTTTCTACGGTGGAGCATTTAGGCTTTTGTTACCTCACGGCTCGATCACATAACTCTTCTAACGCGTCTGTCATTCCTTTTGCATTTTAATTCTCTTAGAGCTTTGAACAAGGACATGAGCAGCCACATTTGAATTGAAGCAAAAGCGTGTTCTTATACTGATTCTGTATGTATAAACCCGATTATTACTTATAAAATGGGTCCAAAATTCAAAAATGCTTGCTTTTGTTACAAAATTCAAGAAACGAAGTTTGTATCTGGGAGTCATGAAGTGATTTTTCTTTAATCTGACCAAATGACCAAACTGATCAAAGATAACATTCGTTAAACATGGCACTATGGAGTTTCATCAAACTCTAATACGCGATCTAAATTATCTAAAGGTAAATAAACTTTATAACTTTTGTCTTCACCGTTTGAATCAGGATCTTGTCATGAGCAAAAGCCTGGAGAAATCGTACAAGATCAAGTCTACATCAAATTGGCATGTAATTTCATCTCACATGTTTTCTCCCCTAAGAATCAACTAAAGTACAAAAGAATATTCATGGTTTGGCAGCTCTCAAAGCCCTCAATCCAAATGTCTACTTGGTGGTTCCTGGAAGGTATCGGGTAAAGCGCAAAGAGAGTTATTCACCGTTTTTCGTGATCGAATTACATCAGAAATGAGGTAGATTTACGAGGCCATTTTATGACGCTTTCAGTGGTATTTTGATGCTAAAGAAAGCAATCATTGACATATTACATTCAATACTTTATGTTGAATATTTGCTTTTTTTATGGTTGTTTGAATGTGTTGTATTTAATTATTTTCTTCTCATAATATATTTGTATATAAGATTATCAAAACGAACAATGCATATCACACCTACCAATGAATCCACTTAAATACTTTATTTTTCTTCCTTTTATCTGTCGTTTTTTGCTAGTTGATAATTATTTTAAAACAATCTTGTAGAATACTTATTCCTACTCAAATAACACTATGTAATAGGTGATTAAAACGAAATCGGGTTTATTGATAGTTATCATTGGAATAAAAATCAAATAATGACAAAGTAAAAGTTGAATATAATACACTGATTTAAATTTCACACATCTTTTCAACAAATAACTAAGTCTTACGCTCGTCTCTATCAAAATAATAATGTTCCTTAGTGTCTATAGGCTCTGCTAAAGTCCAAATAAGGACATTGAAATGGGCCTTTTGTGCACCACTGGTATCTGTACTGCCTTTTTTTCGTCTTTCATTGTATGTACGCTCAGTATCCTGTCGCAATATTAGGAAACCATCAGGAAGTTCGTAAAATATTTCATCCACCATCGCCGTTATATATTCACCAGTTTTTTTAGATTCTTCTATGGATTTTTGTTTCATATCTGGATTCGTGTCGAGCACTGGTACCACCTCGTATGGTTTGGCTTCCTCTGATAATCCATATTTTGTGAGAATTGCATTCAAAGCTTCCTGCCTAGTAGGGTAGGAATTTGTACTAAAATTGGATCGCGTACCTGTTTCATTGTTATCTCCACCTGCCGTTCCTCCAATTCTCATATCATTTCGTCTTGAGTGATCTAAGAATAATCAAATGTTAATAACTGAAAGTAATTTTAGAACTTTTTAAAAACATCAATAGGAATTATCGGAAAAGAAGCGCGAAAACGAAAGGAACTACACAGAACAATAAAAACTACAAACCTGTAAAAAATAAATACTTTTGATATTGTCAAAAATTTTACTGAGAATGATCTATGCTATTTTATAAATTTCTGTTCGACTATATTGTGTATCTCTCACATTAACATCTATCTGTATCATATTCTTCGAAACAATTCCCTATTAACAATAGTATTTACCGTTTTAGTTTCTCTTATTATTGGATTCTTTATTTGATTTCTGTTTGTTACCGTTTGCCGACACTTTACTTGCATTTTCTTTAGTTGCTGGTTTGCTTTTTTGCATCTGTGCTATACCGGGCACTTCTTTACCATCTGCCGCTGCCAAAACACCTCCATATACTTTCATATTTAGATCAATTGAAAAAGCAGCAGGTACCCACGAACATTTTGATAAATCATTACTCATCTTTTGATCATTATCGTGTGTATCATCGTAAAAGAAATTTAATTTTTCAATTGTAAATTTTAATTTTGCTTTTTCTTGAATTATTGATTGTTTAAGATATTGTACTAATGCTTGTTCATCGTTATATTCTAACCAATCAATAATATATGGTCTAAGAGCACTTTTTTTACAGAAACATTGTTTAGAGAGATTTTTTAATAAAGCATTTAGTATTTTCTTATCGTTTTCATCTGAACCTGTCGGATAGCGACCAATCGTTCGTTTCATTTCTTTCAAATGTGTATCAATTGCTGAATTGTTTTCAATTCGTGCCGCTAAATCACGTTGACTTTCGTATCTTGCTCGAATAATACGTGATAGGAAATTTAATTTTACTAATTCCTTCAAACGTAATAATTCTGGAAAATATTCTCCAATTTCATCGTAATATTTAGTAAATACACGTGAAAATTGAGCTTCAGCTGATTGATCATCTTGTGTATCATTTTTATCATCAATTAAATTTCCTTTTTCATCATATTTCATTCGATGTTGTTTTACACACATTTTGAAATTATCACTTAAATACACATGTGTTATATTATCGTTTGTTCTACCAAAGAAATTCTTGTGAAAAATTTGCTCATAATCAAGAGTAGATTCAGGCTGAATCCAAAAACGACGGATACTATCTGTTATCATACCAGATTTCTTCACAGCAATTGCCTGAAGTTCTTCACGTATTTTAATTGGTAAACGCTGCATTAAATTATCCGTTGATGAACGCATTTCAAATGGTATTAATGAACAGATTTCAACACCTGTTGAAATCATTTTTAAGAGATAATCAGTGTGTAATAATGTAAGTAAATAATTCGGTATATTTTCGAGACGTCTAGGTAAATATCTCATTTCATTAAATGGATGTGAATGATAATTTGCATTAGGTGGATCTAATGTAAAATAAGCAAAATCAATTCCGTTCGTTAAAACATCGACGACATCCGCGGCATCAAATAAATTATGTTCATTTTTTTTAGCTTTTGTAAATAAGAATTCAATATCTCCTGTATCATTATTCAGTGTTATACCAATTACTTGTGAATATGCTGACTGCCCTAATCGTAATCGATGTTGTGTATTTAAAAACCAACCATCATTTGTTTTCGGTATCACTGACCAACATAGAAGATCTTGTACATCATCCATTATCCAATTATTATCGTGTAGTAACGCTTCCATACAAATTTCACGTTCATCAGTAAATGTATCATTGTCAATCCAACCTTTCCAAATACCTTCAAAGTAATAATACTGATAGAGTGAACGATTAAAAGATTTGAATTTTAAATATTTTGATAGAAATTCATTTCCAGCACATTCCATATAGACCATATCGTGTATCGTACTTGTCGATGGTGAATGTGTTAATGGATTAACTTGTGATAGATGAAGAATATTTTTCAATAATTCATCTAAGACTGTTTCATGATAATCATTTATAATCGGTTCATTTTTTAATGTTTGACTTCGATCATTAATAATAACGTTTCGTTTGGAAAATAGATCCGATGAACGTAAAATAATCGTATATAACATTTTATAAATATACATTTGAACATATAATGGTAGATAATGTCTTGTAAAGAGAAATATTTCGATTGAAATATCAAATATAATAGATCGATACGCATATAATTCAGCTGATGTACATTTTGGATTTGTCATTGCTTTATAGAAATATAAACATGACATTGTTAAACTATTGGCGAACAATGTTCGATTACCGGATATTGCCATAATTAAATCAATATAAGAAAAAGCTGCTTGAACAGGATTATTCTCTGCTAGTCGTTTGATAATGGCACGTTCATACTTTTTCAGCATAATTAAACGTTCCGTTCTTTTTAAAAAAGTCAAATTCTTCATTAGATGAATTGGTGGAGTGATATCAGATAGATTTAATGAATTATTAATTATATCGTCAATAAGTGCTCGACGTATTGTTGAATGCGTATATGAAAAATTGATAAAAAAAAGAAGACTAATTATCACTGTATCATATGGATGAGAAAGAAGAGCATGATGAATAGAAGATAATGATTGAATGGGATTATTTTCAAGTTTGTAGATGATTGCTTGAATAAAATACATTTTCGAGCGATATTCTGACGGTTGGATATCTTCTAACTCTAATATACCACAACAATTCTGAAGTACTTGTTTCAATTGTTCAAGAAAATAGTTTTCTGAATTAAATAAGACTTTCATTAATTCTAAACACGATTTATACGTAGCAACTTTAAGTTGATTGAAAACTTTTGTTTGCAATTTAATTAATAATGGTTGATTTAATGCAGTTAAATTTTGCATCGATTCATTTGATAACCGATCCATACTTAATAGAATATGCACACCACCATTAATCATTGGATCATTTTCACCTTTCTTATCGTTCATTTTTGCAAGTTGATTTAGAATTAAAAGATGATATTTAAATAAATCGATATTTTTAAATCGATCTTCAGTTTCATACATTTGAACAGCTGATATTACCAGCGGTAGAACATGAGAATTCTTCAGTTTGATCAGAACATTGCATATGTGGTAAAATGTATTATTACAGAGTACACTATGATATTTCGACAAGATCTATTGTCAATAAAATGCACAGTTAAATTCGATTAAAACGAAAAAAAATGATTAGAAAATTAGACTGTTACTAAGAATTTGAATGTGAAAATTTTATTTACCTTGGAACTACATCCACGTGTAAGTTTAAATACGACTGTCAAATATAGTAATGCTGTGGATAATGGAAGCGTTGATGATTGTGCTTGTTGAATAATAGTTTCATAGGCTTTCTCTTGTTCACAAAACAGATAACAGTTTAAGGCTATTAGAAATTTTTGATCATTATAGTACTGATCAGCTAGTTGTTTCCATTGTGAAATTTGATTCGTATTATTAAACAATTCATATCCAATCGGATCGAAATCTTCAATAGCATTGATAAACCATCGTGTTTCATTACGATCGCATAAAGTTTCAGCCATTTTATGACAAAATAAAACTTTAAGATATTCTTTCTTTTCAATATATTGATTTTTATATTCTATCCAAGATCGATATTTATAAATATGTGCAAATGAAAGTCCAATGATAATACGATTCATATCAACTGACGATATATTACAAAAATGGTTTAACCAATCATCTAAAGAGATTGTTGTCTTTTTCGATAATAATATCTTGGTTAGAAAGTAAATATAACTGTTCGTTGATATTTGAAGGTCTATTTTTTGTACACAATATAGATATGTTAATAACAAAGCTAATTTTTCAAATTGATTTGTATCACATAATTGTTCACTTACGTAAATCCATTCATCATGCAACATTTTATCGTATAAATAAAAACAAAACATTGCAAGACTACCATTATCTTTTCGTTCTAACAAAGTTTTTCCACCAAAGTCTTTCCAGTCAACTTGATCGGCATATTTAACATTTAAATATAGTAAGTAAAACAAGCATGTATCAGTATCCTTGAAAAATTGATCACTTGCTATTTGAAATATTTTTTCAATTGATAATTTAATACGTTCGTAACATAATAAAGCATATATTGAATTGTGCTGTAAAGTAGCTTGTTGCAACCAAAAATTATCAGATTTGTTGCATAATTTCATACAAGTAAAACAATACGAATATTCGTTTTTCTTGCAAAATTCAATCGAATATTTAAACCATTCATCATTGTCAAGTCGAGCATATGTAAAACATTGAAGAGCCAATGAATATTTTTCCGCTTGATAATAGCGTATGCCAGTTTGATGATAAAAGGATCTATTACTGTCAGGTTGATATCGATCAAGCAAAGCTAAAAAAATACTTAATAATTCTAATCGATTAGATTCGATTAAATTTTTAACATAATTAAATAAATGTTGATAGATCAATTGTTTCTTTTCCTCTGAACAATTGGAACAGATTCGCACGGATTTAGTGATATAACCTAAATGCGGGATTCGTTTGTATAATGAACAATCAGTGCAATGATCTTGACCACACATACGACAGAAATGACGACGTGCAAAGAATGAAAATGCTTTCTTACAAGCACAACATTTGTTGTTCGAAAGTTGAGATGGAGGATTTTGTATTGGAAAATAAAAATCATTTTTATTAATATATTTATTTGTTATCGTCGAGTCGAATAAATAGTAATTACCAGATTGAGTTCGTTGATCATTATTTTGTAGTTTAGAAAAGACACTTGGCTCTTCTTCTTGATCATATTTATCAAAAATTGTTTTCAATTTTTGTATCTCCTCTGAATTTGGTAAATAGTTTATAAAAACTGTTTTTGATAATAATATTGGTAATTTCATTAATTCTTCTTGATGATGTTGATATTTATCAATAAGTAATATCCAACATCTCTCAGGATTACTAATAATTCGAACAGGTTCTTTTAAGTCGAAAATCAAGTGCGATAATTTCTTCCACGTTTCATGTGCGTTCCATATTGTCTGATAGGACGAAAGTTTTTCTACGGTTTTCCAATTCCATATGTCGGAATCAATAACTTGTTCAAGAGATAATGACTTCTTTGCTTTGGTAAACAATGCTTCATATGGTTCACAGTTTTGACGTTGATGTACATGTTTATTTTCATAAGACTGATGACAGACGTTACATTGAATGTATCTATTAACGCGTATATCTTTGCTATTAGCTGGAATAGCATTCTTAATTAGTTCTTTCAATTTTTCGTTGAAATTATTTGAAAATGATAAGTTGTTGTATTCAACCAAATACTTATCAATACGTGTTTTGTAAATATCAGATAATGTTTCACCCATATGCAATCTAATTAAGGAGAGAATGAGTTACATCATCTATGTACATATACTAGCGATAGTACCCGGTGTTGCTCGGGAAATTTCCATACTGAAAACTTACCATGTCAGAAAATAACAGAAGATGTATAGAGGGCGTGCTTCAGACCTTTCTATATATTACTACTACATGTCCCGCCGTGCATACACTTACGTTCATTCTTAAATCGGATAATTCAGCAAATAGTGTGCGAGTGTGAGTGACTTTCTGTTTTCTTAGCTCATGCTCATTGCCATAATTCATACCAACACCCAGTGCAAAAAAAGTGCCAGTAAGAGGTGGATATTCTAACAACGGTAGTAAATACTCTGAAGTTTTTGCAAGATTAGTAAAAATTGCAACGTTTCCTGTGGCCCTAAGAGTATGCCATGAACAGTTTGGCACCGCTAGCTCGTGCAGTGTCCAAATGCACAAAAAAACAGATAGACAGACACAACCTTCTTCTTTATATATATATCTATATATCTGTATATATATATATTATATATATATATATATGATGTGTGTGATAGTGGGTGTCTGTCTGTCTGTATACAGAAGAATGTTTGTCTGTCTGTTCGTTGTGCATTTGTTGTCAATAATAGCTCGTGTCACCATAGTTTCCGTAGCACATTTCGTAGTTTGGAGGAAGACTGGAACAAAGAAGGGTAGCAAGAGGATTGGGTGAAATTTCACCCAAGTTGTGAAAATCGAAGATTCTCTAATATACCATAAGGAAAAATGTGGATATGGGTCTTTTTGCCTAGCTCACAATGATGGCATATTCGTTCTTTCTCTTGACTAACAATAACGATGTATTCGTTCTTTTTTCTGACTCCTATGATTACAGCTGTAGTAAAAATACATATATACATATATATATATATATATATATATATGTATATTTAAAAAGACCGAATACAGCGTTATTGTTAGTCAAGAGAAAGAAC